TCTAAAATTATAATTTTAATTCAATCTCATCATAAAGCGTATATAAGATTATGTGGACTTGTCGAGAATAATCGATTCGATGCAATTTACGAGAGATACGCTAAAATATGACTTACTTGCTGAATACTACTCACCAATGTCGACGGAGACTAGATTTCCTGTTCGAACATTTTCACATGGACGCCATTTCGTGTATCTACGCACAAGCAACGATGCCGAATTAATATTTGGTCTGTTCTTTTTAGAATCGTTAGTATCGTTACATCTAATCATATTTCATGTAATCCAAACATTAACTTCTAAATCTCTTTCTCGCGAAAAGTCTCATGATCTACACGAAATATTGAATATTCAATATCAGCGTTCCAACGGTCAGCGTTTAAACGCAGCAGCCATAACGGACGCAAGAGAAAAAGCAAGGGGGAGAGGGGGAGGGCAGGGCATACCCTAAGGTTATATTCTTTATTCATTCGATTCTGACGCGCATGATCATGTAGCGACGTCGAGAATAACCTATTCAACGAAATTTCCGAAAGACTGAAATATCACTCACTTGCTCACCGATGTCGTCGACCGAGAATTAGATTTCCTGTTCGATCATGTTCATGGATGCCATTACGCACAGCTTCCCATCCGAACACGAGTAACCTGCCGAATTAATGTTATCATATATCGTTACATACAGTCATGTTTCGTGTGGTCAGCGGATTCACCACTTAATATTTTACCTGAAGATTGTACGATCTGCGCGAACACCTCTTGGTTGTGCACGATTTCGATCGAGAATTATTGAATATTCGCGACAGCAACGTTCAAACGCTGCTAACACGACCGACGCCGGAAAAGGACTAAAGCGCCGCCAGAAGAAGACTGAGGCGCCGCCGGTAATGGCGAAACCGCCGAGCCAATTAGCAAGCGTTCGTCACCGACTCGGTATTGATTTGCATGAACGATATCAAAACACATGACACAAAAAGCGTTTTACCTATCAAGCGTTTCTTACGAGACACGGAGTCGTCTATACTATGACTTTGAAAAACTAAACGCATTCCTGAACATATACCTGGTGTTCGAAATGTATTACCATTAGTACACCCGCCGGTAACGACACAATTACTGGTAATACCGACAGTTGCTCGCGGTAATGTTACCGCAATTTGAAAATAGTGTTGCACAATATGTACCTTCTATATCACATTTTAGCTCTTTTCCGCTGCTATTTCTCAATGATCGGTTCGCTTCGGTTGTAATTTGCGTATTTAATTATAAATAAACCCCGTTCTTTGTCCTTTTAAAGTCTAGATATATCCCGATCTCGTTTTCGTACAGGAAGTGTGATTGAAAAGACTGAAATCACGACATCTGTTCCCCGAGCACACAAAGTACAGAAAGTACCCAGTAAACAGCAACGTTACATTAACATTATAAATTTCTCATTCAACAATACAACTGTTGAGTGCAACATGTGTTATATCACACGTATATTGTCGAGTGAAAATATAATATTGATTTAACGTTACTGTTGGTTGATGTTTACCGAGTTTAAACGGTGTGCAACGACAATTCGACTCGTACGTATCATAACCTTACATTTATTACGCTATTTGACTCCTTCAACAGTCTTACACGATTTATTCTAGAAAGTTAATGCCTCGAAAGATCCTTCCTCGACCTCGATATCCGAACGTTACCAACGGAAGGTGACGAGAAACGACATGGGCAACAACGCGCCGGTCCGGTCGGCGCCAGTGGAAATGAAAAATCTATACGGCGGAACGCCGAGGCAGGGAGTAACGACGGTCGGTGACGTCACGCTCTCCCTGACGGACAACATCCCTCCGAGAGAGAGGATGGTGGCTCATCCTCGTCCGGGCCGAACAAGGAACAACCCGGACGGCTTTGCGTCGTAAAGAACGCGACGAGGACAGCCCTTGCGGAACGGTGCAGAGCGGCGGTGGCCGCCTGAAGTTCGCTGCGAGCGGCAAATGCTGCACCGACGACGTCTGCTACAACGGAGGGCGACGGCGACGACGGCCAGGGTGCAACAAGCGTCCGAAGGTGTCACGCCGGGCAAACATGAATGAGCGAACCCCGCGGCCAGTTGCGAGGCTCGGCCTGTGCGTCGTGAATCGTGAGGAGTTCGTCGGAACGGGTGAGTGGTTTTTCTTCCCAACGGGCGAGGGTTGACAGGAGGGTGTCGAGGGACGAATTCGTTGAGCTCGATTTTCGACGACACAGTACGTGCGCGTACATGCGCTAAAAAAGGCTAGAGGGGATGGATAGAGATTTCTAGAGGCATCTCGTATAAAGGCATACATCTCGGCTCGGGTCACGTTCCAATTTCTTATTTCCGAATTAATTTCGATAGTCTAACCTTCAAAGAAGCGGGATATGAGCAGGAGTGAGTTTATTTAAAGCAAACGTCGAATTATACATTGACGTTGTCAATTTTACCTTCAGTCTCCGCGACACAATAATGTTTGATAGCTTATAATATTATTAGTCGTAGCGATTCTTCGGAGATATATATTTTCTCTTTCTCTCTCTCTCTCCCTATCGCGAGATTTCTCGAGAATTATTTTAATAATGACGGTTGCATACGCCACATCGACAATAGTGGTTTAGGATATACGTCGCGCATTTAATTTCACCCCTGCGACGCAATAGCTTCGAACAAGTACATAGATACATATATGCGTCTCGGCGAGTCGAGAGCTTTTCCGTTAGATGGATAACGAAGAAAATTGCATTGCGATTTGGTACGTTGGAAGATCACGGAGAATCTTTTGCAAAATCTCACGAAGAAGCTCGTGTTTTAATGCGAATCTTCCTACGAATCTAATTGAACTTGCGACGAAGAGACATTTTTGTTCAATTTTTCATAATTATAAATTTCAGCGGACAATTTATACATCTTGTCTCGCAATATTCTATCGAGTTATAAATGCTGAAATTTTCTCATATATATTGACGGAAAGTTTACGGTGAATGACAGCGCTTAACGCAGCTACGTATCATTTTTCAAAACTTTCCAATGCTGCCTTCGATCGCGGAAGGATGAGAATGCTCCGTCGAGCGAATATCGTAATAAGGGGTTTCACACCCCGCACACACTCTCCCCCCGTCTCCACGTCGCTCCACGTATTAATTACGCTCCTATTAACACCGCTCAGGTATATAGTTGCAACTTGTTGAAGGAGAAAAATTGCCGGTTCGTGCGCCGTTCGTTCGTGCATGATCTTTAAGTACGCGATAACGAACTTTACGCCAATTTCATCACGAAAGCGCGATAAATCCCGCTCAGCGTTGAAAGTCGCGCTCAACGAAATTGTACCGTTATCGATGTCGTAATATACGGTTCATTCTTTTGATATCTCACGATTAACGTGGCTAACGTTGTAACTTAGGTTTCGCCGCTGATTTCTGCTTTCTTCGCATGCGACTTTACTTGAGCTTCGCATCGTCCAAATAGCACTATGAATTCTTAAAGTATTCCCGAAGCTTTTTCCTTTCCTGAGTTGTAATTCTTTAGGAATTCATAGAATAAGAAAGATTTAGTGAGTCATATGCACTTTATGATTGGAATTTCTGAGAACTTCTTGAAGTATTCGTATAAAATTATTTCGTATCTATAGATGTATAATTAGATGTATAATGAATAATAATTAATAAGATGTGAATTCAAGAGGAATAGTGTTTAATGATACAAAGAGAAAGGATTGTGGAATATCTAGTAAATACCAACTAAAAGTAATATTATATCAATATTGTAATTTCTCACTTAACAGCATAAATGTTGTATAACGCAGGTTGCGTATAACAGCTATATTGTTGAGCGGAAAATTATAATATTGATGTAACGTTACTGTTGATATTTGATGAATAACAGACTTCTTCCAAATAAAATAATTAAAATACATTCAGCATTCTTTCAACGACATAAAAAAAGAGAGGAATTCAAAATTGCATCAGAAAATCATGTAGAATTAAAAAAGGATTACATTATACGCGGGCAATTTCAGGCCAATAAAGTAGCAATTTGTTGAAATGAGTCGAGTTCAATCATATCCTCGCAATTCAATGAAATTTTAATGATGTCGTTTTACTTTTTATTGCGTCAAGATATAATTTATTTATATAAAAAAGTTCAAATTATGATAATATACATAAAGGAATTTTCGCTTTTTACGTTTTTGTCTTAGAGAAAAATTACATGATTGATACCTTGGAAATAATACAAACATCTGCTAAACATAGTCATAGATAGTAATTATAATAAACAAACACTAGTAAAGTTCGTGAATTCTCAATTCAAAGTACTCGAAGTATATCAAATCACGAAATATTCGTTATGATGAATCTTTGAGGAATATTTCAAGACGACTTTGATTGCGGCTAATTCTCCAAATATTTATTTTTCTAATCCTGTACCCTGGTAGCACACTTCATTGGCGTTATATTGGCCCAACATTGGCCAATGTGCTACTAGGGTAGGTATTCATTAAAATGAATGATCTATAAACTTCTATTCACCACTGTGCTATCTGGGTAGTGACGGTGTGTTGGCCATGTCCTTTTTCTTTTTTTAATTACCTCACGGAGAGACCGTTGGTCTGGAACAAACTACACGCAACTACTTCCAGAACAACATACGCCCACACACACATACATAAATAACAAACGTCTCGCTACACTTTTAAACGATACCCACCCTTCAACATCTACGAGAGACTACAGCTTGTGAACCACCCCCGTTCTCTCTCGTGCGAAACTCGACGCGAAACAACACGCGATATGCATGCTCCCACGTCACATTCACACGCTTGTGTCGCTCATTAATCGCATTATCGTTGCCAAGATGTACGTCGGAAAGCAAAGGACATGGCACACCTGTAGATACGAAATGCCGGACTAGCGTGCGCGCGAGAGAGCGAGCGGCCGACCGGTAGAGGCAGAGAGAGAGAGAGGCAGAGCAAGTAGTAAAGAGAGAGTAGAGAGCAAGCAAGTAGAGAAAGAGAGAGAGAGAGAGAGAGAGCGAAAGAGCGAGCGAGAGAGGGAAGAAAGAGCACCCCGAGAAAGGTCGCGCGACGCCAAACGTGGAGAATGAGTCACGCTCAACAGCATGTGCTTGCGAGCGCGATAGTCCTCGCGCTGATAGTGGTATTCGGCATCCACGTCTTCCTGTTTCCGATGTACACGTCGAATCCGCCGGCCCGCCACACGAAGATCTCCGCGTACGAGCAGGCGCTCTGTCGCACGACCCTGAAGAACGTCCGGGTGCCGCCGGAGTGGCGGAATCCTTGCCCCAAGTACGGCATTGTGTCGGCGGTGCAGGGCGGTAGGCTCGGCAACCAGATCTGGGAGTACGCGTCGGTGTGGGCTACCGCGAGGAACACCGGCCTGGAGCCGTTCATGCCGCGCTGCATCCTCAAGACCTTGGAGGAGTACTTCGACAACCTCAGCATTCCGCCGCTCACTTACATCGGCAGATGCACGTTGGACGTCGGCCAGGTGATCAGTTCGTTGGGCCAGTGGAACAGCACGAAGCAGAACATCATTATACCCAGGTAGCGATTAGCAACGCGTGGCTGACCGTCCATTTCATCAACGTCGAGTTCTCGCCTCTCGGATCTTGCCTGATCCCACGATCAGATTTGAGCTTAGAGCGAGAGATCAAGGCGAAAGTCGCACGGACGACGTTGATGAAACTGGTAAAAGCAACTATTATCTCGCAGCTATGTGTATCTTTTGTATGTCTTTGCTACAATATAGCTGTAATAGTCAGACCAGATTAGAGTGAGGCGGATATCGCACAGAGAAAAAATATCGGCCCACTGTAGATTCCAGCAAATTGCTTTCTCTTGTGCGCGATCCGAATAAAATATCGCGCAAATCTTTCCCAGGCACGCGGCTTACTGGTCTCTGATACTGGTCTGGTTGGACGACATACGACGGGAGTTCACGTTCAAGCCGTGTCTGAGGATCTACGCGGAGAAGGTATTGAAACGTGTCGCGGAGAAATTCAATCTGTCCTCGCCGACCTACGTTAGCGTGCACGTGCGCCGGACCGATTACGTGGATTACCTGTGGCAGAAGTTGAAGGCGCGGCCCGCGCCAATAAGCTACTACCTATCGGCGATGGATTACTTCGCCGGCAAGTACAGCAACGTAGTCTTCGTAGTGACGAGCGATAATATCGCCTGGTGTAAATATAACTTGCGCAGTAAGCGTCACAGGATCAGTTTCGTGTCGGACAATGACGGCAAGGGCCCGGGGAAGGACCTGGCGGTATTGTCCGCGTGTAACCACAGCATAATAGATTACGGCACGTACGGCTCGTTCGGGGCCATTTTGGCCGCCGGCGAGACTATAGTCTACAATGTAACAACATACTTTTCTACACTGATCGCTGACGTTCTACCTAATTGGAGGATAATGAGTTGAACGCAACTCAGACGTGAAGTTACACGAGACACATGCATTACCTTGCATCGCCCTTCTTGCGAGCGATTTTTCGTTATTTTTCCTTTTAACGCGATTCATATTATCCTCGGTGATATTCGATTGGTTTGACAGAAGAAGACCCTTTGAAGACCGCGATCTCTTTCGTTTAATGTCGATGTGACGACAAAATTGTTAATTCGACGTTCGAATTATATCACAAGAGCTTTTACCGAATCACAAGTGTGCGAGTAACTTGAGTGAATCGCCGAGCATTGGTTATTTCTGCTATTCACGTGAGTATGATCATTTTGAAAGTGTACCACGCCTTTTCCAGAAAGTATACGCTCACTGTTTTCTCTGTTTGTCGCACGAACGAACAACTCTCGCCAGTAGCGGAATCAAGTGAAAGTATGTTGCTACATCGCGTTTTATATGTGTAATGACGTAAGCGCATCATTGTCGGAATGCTTAACAATATTACGCATATATATCGCCCTTATTTAAATTTAGTGTGTGCACACAAACTATAGGAACCGATGCACCTGTACATGTAGCGCGAGCGAACCTTTCCAGAAACTCGAAGAAGAGGTTTACAAAGGAACAATGGACCACTAATATCTAAAATTAAAACAGATGTTTATTTTTTCTACGACTCTGAGATACAAACTCGACACGGCCGTAAAAATTTAATATGAAAAAAAGACGCGATAGATCTGGGATCTATGTACTTTCCGAATACAAAGGTGGTAACCAAATGAGCCTAATTCAAAAAAAAAAAAAAGAAACACGCGTACGGATAAATTCTAAATTTTGCAGTGCTCAGAATTATGTCTGGTTAATCTTTAACTTTCGCGCGATCTTTTTCCGAGAACTGGATCTTCTGACGTTAGTTCGTAGTTTATATAGTTTTCTATAATCTAGCCTAGCGAGAGTCTCGAGTTAATTGTGTTTATACGTTTAATGTGGATTTCATATCGTAGCGAGCGTGTAACGTACACTTCACAGACACGAAACCGACGTATTAACCATCTGTAAGTCTTATAATGTACAATGATTTCAAACTGTGATTCTATTTCTTATTGTGCCAAAATTCTGAATATACACATAAACATATATATATAAATATATATGTATATATATATATATACATCTATATATTATAAAATTATATCTATACAACGCATTGTATAATATTTACAAATCTGTGAGCAAATGATAAATTATTTCTTCACTTAATCGTTAACTTAATCGTTAAGTATTAAGATTAAGATAATCGTTAAGGATTAAAAGAAAAAGAAAAAGAGAGAGAGAGTTTACGGACTATATTATATGCAAGACGCGGACGAGGAAGTATTTTACATAAGAAGCCAGTGTTTGAAATTTATTAACCATGTGACCTGATGTATTTGACTTAAAGTGTTTTACAAGCTAGACTAGTCAATGTGTCTATATCTATATATACGTTAATATCTATATATGAATGTATCTTCAATGTATTGGTGCCTGTCAGTTGTTGTAGATTAATGTCGAAACGCGCGAGAGAAGGTCAGGACTGATAAAATGGGTACGATAAAAAAGAAATTAATCGTTCGCGCGATAACAGATGTCTCATTGCCAATTAGCCGACGCAAATTGACAAGAGATACTCGATCCAAAGTGAAGAAGTAAAGATAACAAATTAGACACAATTTTCAGGCATCGATACGATCTACACTCTGTACATTCTCTGTGATAATTTTATGTAACTTTTGAGAACGTAACGCGTAAGACATATGTATTCGTTTTACAGAATAAAAATACTCCATGTCAAAATTAATTCTGTGCGTCGTGTGTAATTGTATTGCGGAATCACGTTTGTATGCGAGCGTACATCCTTTATAGCGTATCCAACGTAAGTTTTAGATTTGTCGTACTTATGAAGAAACACTGCGTCTTAATCCGTTCTTCGGAAAAGTAATGTTAAAGTGAATGAGAAGGTGCAACATGTGCGCCGATTTTCTAGGATGAAGGCGATGTAAAAAATCTCCGTTGGTAGACGATCGATGAAATGTTGATTAGGTGCGCTACCGATTCGCGGTAACGAGACCGGTTGGACCCAAGCCCCATTTCACACCGGCTACTTTCGTCCTTAGAGGCTGAAATCCAAGCTCGGTCTTGGGGATTCCGTATTCCTGCAGTTTGCTCTCGAAAGTTGTCAACAAGTCGTCGTGGGCCTTGCAAACCTTCGCCAATTCATACTGCAGTTCTTGTATCGCGGTGTTCTTCCTGTTCAGCATATCCTGGGGGAAGAATATCGCGGGTAGAGTTGTCGTATATTCACATCCGCGATTGCGATGGAATCGCGTTTAATTGCCTACCTCCAGTTTCTTGTTCACGGTGGCCACCGCCACGGGATCCAATTGAGCAGCGGCTAACACCTCGCTGATCTGCGCCTCGCGTTGCTCCAGCAAATCCGATAGCTTTTCCAGCTTCTTCTCTAGCAGCACGTTCTTCAAGCCCGTCTTCTGCTGCAGCTCGAAAATAGCCGAGACGAATCTGGAGTGTAACTCGTCTCTCTCGGCTTGACACTAAAAACGTGAATCTCCTTACGTGAATCTTCGGTCACAAACACTAAATATTAACCGTTTACCTTCTCGAAGCGCAACTCGAGCACCTCGTTCTCCCACTTCAAATTCTCCAGATCCTTCGTCACGACAGACAGTCTCCGCTTCGTGTTCTGCAACAATTCGGTCTACGTTATATTTCTGGTTCTTAACAATATAACGTTGCGCTAAGGACACTGACAATTAAGCATTGCTTGTCTTTCTCGTAATTCGCGAGTTGGCGATTCAGTTCGGTCACCGTTTCCTGCAAGACCTTCAGGTCGGCCGAATATTTCTTGTTCTCCGTTGTCAGTTCCCGCACCTGCTTCTTTAGACGTTCCTCGTTATTTTTTATCGTCTCAATTTGCTCCTGTCGCAAAAGTTTCAAACGATACATTTCCTTTTCAGCAGATCACTCTTATCGTACCTATGAGGTATCTTCGTAGCAAACAAAAACGGCGAACTTACCTGCATACTCTTAATTAATGACAGATTGTTCATCGTGATATCGTTGTAATAAGTTTTCATCTCGTTGAACGCGTCCTCGTGATTTTTTATCAAGTCCGCAATCTGAGTGTTCTTCCTTTCCTCTACTTCCGTGATTTCCATACGATGCTTCAGTGTCAAGGACTCGTACTGACTGGTCAACTTTTGCTCGTACTTTTGCTCCATTTCCGTCGCTTCCAACTGGAATCTCTTCATGATGTTGTTTATCTCCTCCGAGTGGTGCTGCGGTTCAACATATACAAAATTCAGCGATGTTTCCCTTATTATTAATAAAATAGAACTGTAGACCTCTCAGCAAACTGTATTACAACCCAGTAAGCAAAATATTATGCTATCAGATTGGCGGTAAATTCGATCAGAATCCCACAACAAAACTATAGCTATCTGTGTCCGCATTAAGCTCGTATTATGCTGACAGAGCCTGCTGACATGGTTTGATGACAAATTGACGATAGAAACCAAGCAGATTTTGCTGCCAAACTACAGTAGGTTCTGCTCGATTTCTACTGCCAATTGGTTGTCAAATAATTACAGAGGCTGCTTGGTTTCTGCTATCGATCTTATATTGGCATAGCATGTCAGTAAGCTCTATCAAATTTCTGACGGCAATTTGACAATATTGCCAGATAGAAGAAATTGTGTGTAAAATTGTTGCCTTTCTGGCATCAAAAATTTATAGCAGGCTCCGCTCAGAATCTACAGGTTCGGCTGTCTGGGAAGCGCGTCTCACCAATTTCAGCGCGCGGATCTGGTTCATATACGACAACTCCTGCTCCTTCTGCATCTCCTTGAGTTCCGTTTTGTCCTTGATGAGCTCGTTCTCCTGCATCGAATGATCGTCCTGCGCTAACTTCAGAGCGACCAAGTGATCGGCTTTGGTCTCCGACAGATTAGTCTGATGCTCGTACATCAGGTGTTTCACTTTCTGCTTGTACAATTTGAGCTCGGCATCGTGCTTCTCCTCCAGCTCCTCCTTCTCGCGCTCCTTGTTTCTACGCAATTCGTGAGGACATGTGCGGGATTAATTTACGCACGACGCTAAACGACGCGTTCACGTTGCCGTACCTGACCACGGCACGAGCTTCGTCCAATTGATGTCTCGTGATCTCCCAAAAAGTTCGCAATTTATCCCTTTCTATTTGAAAGAAATTCCTTTCCTCCCGCTCGCGCTCCATCTCCTCCAATATCTTATGGGCGTATATTTCTAATTGCTCCCTGTTCATCTTCGTTGTGTCCGCCCCGTCCACGGTATCGATCATTTTCCCTTTCGCCTTCTTCGGACCCTTCGACAGTTTCGAGCAATGAACAGCGAATGATCAATTGATAGCCAAGACAAATATATTAATACGGAACGAAATTCGACTCTGCAGGTATTTGTAACACATAACATTTTGAGTTTTTAATCTACACCTCGTTTATGCAGATTGTTTGTACGGATCGTAAATGTAACTTAATTGTAAAAACAAGCGATAATAATCGTCCCCCGCAAAATCCCCTCGGCAAATTAATAATTACAATCAATGGATCTTACCATCGTTTGTCAGTAAAAAACTGTCTTATATAATGCAGTGACCTCGCAAAAATAGTAAAAATAGTAGTAAAATATATATAATGCAAGTAATAACGCAACACCACTCCAAAGTCCGTAGCCTCGTATCAGCTGACCACACCTGACCACGTCTGACGGCTCGGTTAGCCTGATATCTTAGAACCGTCACTGTTTTGTAAGACCGTTGCTAAGTAACCACATCTCGTCGTCACCTTACGTCGGCACGGATCCTCCATTAATTATACGTGTAGGTTTCGTCAGAAACTTTGTACGCAATCGCAATTTTCACACAGAAAGTGCATGTAAGAGAGATATATACAAAAATAAAATATTAAAATATGATTATGTGTAAATACATCACTATAGATAATATATCCCGATTGCATACATATCGCATTAGTCTTAATTCATATCACGAAATTTAATATTCTAATACTGGAGGATAACATATAATGCGATATATTACAATGATATTTTATTTTATATCAAAGTTCGTTTGGCATGTTTCCACAATACATTGTAACAGAAAGAACTATTCGTTCTGTACAAAGATATGCTTACGATAATGTATCAAATTAATTGATAAATAATGAGAGAATGTGCATCAAATTGTACCAATTGCTATTAATTTCAGGCAACTAAAATAGAACATACATAGGTCACACGTTATGTTGTTGGACATGTGAGCTTTCTTCGCAGCGATATCAATATTTCAATTACGTTTACATTATTTTCACACAACCATATTACATATTTCGTATTTTTTTTTCTCTTTATGATATTTCTTGAAATCATGATCTAATGCTATTTGACTCCTGCAACATTAAATCATTTTGCAATATTTGAATGAAGCGTCTACTCCGTTAATAAATTACAATATCTTATCAAGGCAAAACACATGAATCTTATAAAAAAGTTGATAAGACGCTATCACCAGTTGCCGACTGTGCAAATAATAATAATAATGTAATATGATTTCTACTAGATTTCACTAAAATCTTCATTAAAAACGATTGTTTCTTTTTTCCAACGAAATGTTGGTTATAAATTCACGATTAAAAATTCGCCACACAATGATTTCAACAACAAAATGACACATACTAATGATCGGTGCAAAGGTATCTATCGCTACACATTGGTTTCATTCGCTGATTATAAACTTCCGAAAAGTCGTGCAAGTTGTAATAACGACTGCCGTTTGCTTATATACATAAAAACCTGTGCATTCGTAGAAAAATTTTATGGTATAAATTATGAGGTAGAACTAGTCTATACGGCATGTAACGAACATCGGGATGAATAGGGAACAGGACGATCCTTAATCCCATTGGATTTGGTCCATTATCGCCAAGTAATGATGAATTTGTGCTCATAATAAAATAATTGAATCAATACAGCTATTCCCTGACAAAACAAAAATAACGGGAAGGAAAAATACCCAAATAAAATTATTGCTTTCTAGGTGAAAACAGTAAAATATATGAGACACAATTCTCATATAAATATAATCTTAATTGTACTTGAAAATCAAGAGACACTTCTCTGTCTCGCGGTACGCGCATAGTAGTAAACGGTTGTTCTCGCGATATATATTTCTGAATGTAATTAAATAAAATATAACAAAAATAAATAGTTATGTCACGAACGGTAATATTCCTTTTACAAATTTATTCTACGAACAAGTTTGATTGTATGGAATGCTACATGTTGCATGACCATTTCTCAATGTTTTCCCCTTGCGTTTAGCTCGATTCGCCGTTAAATTGTAATAGACATCCGACAGCGCCGAAGTAACCCTGAAATCATAAAAAAGAAGCATACATTTATGATATATCCGAATTGCTCGTCTGGAAATAAAACAAAGAAAATGCGCTTTTCCAATCATCTCCTCACTTCATGTTCCAAAAACAGAGCCTTCATGGTTCCTTTAGACCAATAATCCATAGCGTAGGCCAATAATTTCATCGATATAGGATTCACCCTGAGAAAATTCCCAACAAATACGACCTGAAAACGGAAGCAGTTACAAAATGACGACCGGAGAAATTACATCAATACGTGGCTCGCATTATATATTACCCTCTCAATTTTCTCGTTAACGGCACACATGCGCGCGATGGAACCGATATTATTTGTAATAGTGACAAGTGTTGCGCGAGCCAGATCTTCCTTCGTAACCGCATTCCTGCGTTCTTTAGAGTTCATTTGTCCAAAACTGCGTATGAAAACAGCAAATACAACAGAATTCCGACACAAGCCACATATTTGGCAGCAAGTTTCACAAGAAGCTTTATCCATCTTACACGATTATATAATGTGAAATTAACGTAATTATCAAGGTAATAAAATTAATGACTGTGAAATTTACCTGCTAGCAACTAAGTCACCAGGAAGGCCAAACGGACCATAATCACCGCCATATATGTCTTTAACCAGTTTATCTACTTTTGTATTATCACCGCCTGTCGCCAATTCTATTGCTTCTTCAAAAGTGTTACATCCAGTGAGTAAGCAACATAATCCTAAGAACGTTCCACCACCTAAACTATACAAAGCATAAATGTTATACCGACATGTTGCTTCAAAATGTATTTATTTCGCCAGCGCATGATATAATACATGCGCAACTTACCTCGTCCCGGATATTCTTTTGTAATCCTCTGGTCCGTACACTGTTAATATGCTTACTCCAGAGCCTATATTAACAAGCTGCAAAGTATAATTATATAGTTTCATCAGAAAAAAGAAACTACGCGTAATTCAAAGGAAACAAATAGTGAATGTATCCCAGGGTCCAGACATCCTTACCAAGAAAGGATACGGTTCGGAAAAGTCGTAAGGTACTTTCTGGCATCTGCTGTAATCGGTGGGATTCGACCAATAATAACATTCGTGCGGATTCGTGGTTTCAATGTAGAGCATTCCGCGTATTAAACTATCTAACTCGTCGAACTTTGCCAAATTCATATTTACTTCCTGGAATGAAATATTTCAGTTGTAAAAGAATCGATGGATAATTGATGATTTCCATCACAGGGATAACGACAAGTATATAGGGAAGCGATGACAGCGATACCTTCTTAAAATTATCCTCGAACTTGAAGGCACCACCGCCAGTGGCGCAAACTGTGGTCACAAGATTCGCCATGCCCTTCGATTTTGCTAATGCTAAGAAATTGCCCATTTCGCTCGTAGGAAACCTTATAAAATGTAACGTACCTCGCCTTCCCCTGATGCAAACATCACCCATCTGAAACAGTCGTCAAGAAGAAAGAAGAAAATCATTAAAAATCTGACCTGTGTAAGCAATAAAGTCGTGAGAGCTACGCGTTGAATATTCAGGAGCACTTACTTGTAGATGCGTATCGCGATGTCCGGTTTTTCCGTATGCCGAATTCTTAGTAAGGTATCGGCGAATATTTTTCAAAGTTTCAACTTCTGCGTCAGCCTCGTCTCTCGTTATATCTTTAGGTTCAAAGTACACTAATTTACATAATGTACCACCTATGTCCATTCCAAACCAAGGCATTGCTGTAATAAATAAAGTATATTAATATTACATTTTACGTAAGAATATGATAATGTGACAAAAAATACGCATATCTTTGAAAAGATAACCGTCAGCGGTTAAAAAAGCGTAATATGTATAAAATTACACGAGAACAACACGAAAACACATTTGCAAATGTTGATCGTTATTAAAAGGTCATGCAGAAAGAATGTTACAACAAAATATAAAGATATACATATGTGCGCAACAAAACCTTATGTATGTAATTGCAATTGGGTGACATTCAAACGAAATAAATATAAACGTTTCTGCTGCAAATACATCTACTTTTTTATAATCTAAATTATACAATAATTATGTTACTAATATTTCAACACACTGACAAAACAAAGGAAAACATATTACAGTTAAAAAAAAGTGATCATAATCGCAAAATAAAAAGATATCAAATATCGTATATAAATAAAATATCGGTTAAAATGTGACGAAATAATACATAGTAAAACGTAAAAATATTGGCAATCTCTAAGCACACATACAATTCACTGACTCACAAGGGGATGAATGATTCCTCGCTTCTTTGGCAGTGGTTTCGGCAGCGGGATATCCGTTAGACGCCATGGTTTCTGGAGTTAAATTATTCTGTTGGCTTTGTGGTCTCATTGTTCAGTGTTGAATGACTTACTGAGATGTCCTCTGTTATAGTAGATAGCTTCTTTGCTGTAACATAAAAAAATGCTTAAGATTGTGACACAATAGCTTATTTGAATTTGATAATCGTCATATTATCAAGTAATAAGATCCAATACTTAATAACAAATCGATGATTTATTATATCTTGCATTTTAAAGGTCACAAAGGTTAAGCATGATATATCTTAGTAATTAACAATAAACATTTTTATAACGTTTTCTACAAATATGGAACTCTTCATATCTTACAAAAAGGATCAACATTTACTTTATCTCTTAGCTGTTCCTAATGTATTTGTCCTCCAAGTGTAGAGTCAAAGTTCACTTACATACATTATACATAAGAAATGCTTGTATTTACATTCACGCTATACGTCATGCGCATTTTTGTTGCAACATCCATATAACCTACTTCTTAATGTATATAATACAGCAAGAATATAAGTTAGCTAATATCTTGATTTGTTATGATCTTGACTTGTTTATTAACGTAATATTTTTACAGTCAAGTAGAATATTTTAATTATTTGAGATATGATGAAAATTTTAAGGCAAAACATATACACACACGCGCGCGCGCACTGTACATGTATCTCAATAATATATTATTATATTCACACATACTATATGCATGGAGTTTATATATTACAATTTGTAAAAATATATGTGTATAAGTGAATAAATTCTGTTCTGAGGAAATAATTTAATACTAAAACAACAAATCTGATTCTATTGTATTTCTACAAGTCTAAATGATGTCTATTCATTATATTTTGAATATGTATACAAATACAAAAATCATAACAATATGTATACAAACACAAAAATCATAACTTTCTAACATTCATTTATTCATCTACTTACTATTTTTAAATAATAACAATAAAAACACAAGATACTACATTACATAAACAAAATAACTAATTAACCATGAAATGATAAACTCGTCTCTGTTATGGGCATACATTACTGGCGTCCTCATCTACTGACTAATTACATTCCATTTAATTTTCATTAAAATTCCACAATGTAATAGCTTCTTTCTTTACGAAGCAAGCAGCATCAACAATTTTTCCCTCATCATGCAAATAATGACAAATCGCTGATAAGATTAAGAAAGTGTAATCAAACCTTGAATATGTAATCAACAGTGCTAACAGTTGAGAAGACAATTGAATAGAAGGAGATATTTTTTAAATCAAGTCCGCTTAGAAATTTTGTTTACGAGAACAAATTTGTATCAATATGAACTATTTAACATGAACCTAGTGATATTGTGTAACAACACAGAACACCTATGCTCACTTGTACCACAGAAAATACAAAGGATATGATATATCACCTTTATCTATTTATCTCTGTGACCGTGAACAAAAGAAGTCGTGTTCGTTGTCGTCACCGTCGTCGTCGTTGGTCAACGTTGGGATATCGAATGATGAATATCACGCGATCAAACAGAGCGACGACGATGCGCCGTCGCACGATAGGTCGACGTGACACTTACTCATCAGATTTTTACCAAGGCACGAAGGAACGCTACGCGCGGAAGGAGGACGGTGGCGGTTAACAAGTGCATACGACAGTCTTCAAGCAGCAGCACCTACGCACGTATGACGTTCACGATGTGTACGATAACGTTCTCCACTTGCACGATGCAACCGACTGCGTTCTTCACGCGGCGAGCGCGTGACTTTAGTCAGGCTTTCGTTATTACGCTGTCCGAGCTGTCCGAAGTGCGACGAAGCAATAACGATCGGCGATTCCGATAACTGTACAGCCAACGGGACTACGATTCGCGGTAGAAAGAAACTCGAAGAAGGCAAACGTATCTATCTCTTTCCTTCTTTCTTCTTCAAGGAAGACAAGTAATCGAGTCTGTTTACGCGTCACGATCGAATGACATGCCACGACCGGCGCGATATCGTGCGTCACGAAATTCTTTATTCTTTACTCTTCTCCGCCACCGTCTGCTCCTCCTATTTGCTCTTTCTCTTCCACCTTTCTCCCACTTCCACGAATAACTGTCCCTTTCGGAACGCCTCGCCTATTTACCTGACAGGGTCATTACGAAGAATGAAGAAGGCCAACGCGTCCCACGTCATGATAGGTTGCTTAGGAATGACGATCAGCTGATAACCGTTGGCTAGTCTTTCCCCTTCTCTTGTCGTACCGAATAAGTAAAAATCGTCCTCGGAACCTCACGGGTCAGTTTTCACTTTTTCGTCCGCTTGTTTCCCCGACACTTTCGCTGAATTCGTCTCACTATCGACAATCGACGGGTGCTCTTCGAGATCGCCTCATCACATAAGGACTTGATTAAAAGGGGGTTTTTGCCCTATTACAATCTTCGGGCACCATGCTTCTTGTTTTGTCTACGTCGATACTTGCTCTTATCGATGCACAGTATCACACCTTTTCCTACGTTACTTTACAAACGTAGATTATTTTGTTTATACATGCTGCTTTAGATTTCACGGAAAAAAGAACACTGAGAAATACAACACTGAGAGAATGCATCACAATCTAGCCTGGTCGGCCATATTGCCGGCTGACAATCTATCAGCTGTCAAGCTAAGAGATAAGTCACATTGCGTTCGACCTTCGAAAAAGAAATATATTTTCTAAAAATAAAAATGTCGTCAACTAAAATTCCTACAAAGTAAATTCTGTTACTGTCACTTGTTTATTACTTGTAGCAGAGATTCTTTAGTTTATTTGTCCTGTCACTTTTTCTTTTGTTAATGTTTTGCCAGATTCCTAAATTAATAAATAATATTCAAATAATCGATATTAAACATGTTAATTACTACTTAAAAATAAAAACTTTCTGCTGTTAAATCACTCTATTTAAAAGCAGAGATTACGCTACTTCAAAATAAAATACTATCTAACTTATCGTTGAGTCATACTACTATTTCGGTTTCGTCGATAGAAACAATGACGATTCATAGCGGAGACTTTGGGATCGAAATAGCGACAGGTCAAAAATGGATTTTATATTTTTAGATAGTACGTCTCAACGACGAATCGGATGTAATTTTATTTTTTAATATTAAAATTAAATAACATAACATTCAATTAAAGTTAATAGAATTTAGAAACATCGAGGACATAATCGATTCGAAACAAAAACATCGACTCATCAGTCGATTATCGGTCGTTTCCAGTAAAAAGCTGTGCGATGCGACACGCGACGCGTGATATCCAATGAGCGTACAGCTTTTCCGAAAAAGCGACGCGCTCATTGGATATATCGCGTGTCGCATCGCGCTGGTCTGCCGGAGGCGTAATTACGTCACAATGTTATCAGCTCGATTGAAATGATATAATTGTTCTTTTCCTTTTTTACGGTGACGGAATCAAACCTGTGCGGTTGAGGCGGTTATTTACGGCACGAATGCAATCGAGAAGCAATGATCAAACCTCAAGATAGTTTTAAGCTTCGCGATTATCTGGAACTCACATAACCTGTTAGAGCTACCTTGACGTTTCCTTTCGGCGGGAATCTCGAAATATTCATGATTACTGACCAAACTGCCGGAAAATGCCGCCGAATCTTCTGAAGAGCAGCTTGGAGAACGCTTCCTTTAACATTATATTTCAGGTACGCCGGCGGAACGTATCGTCAGAGTTTTTTTTTTGCTAACGATCCGGTTACCATTGCCTCGAAATCCTTATCAAATATTTCGTCACGTTGACGTGCAGTTTTTGTCGTCCTCCAAACGTTCTCACTTTCTCGAAGACTACTTACTAATCGGAGGCTGTTATCCTGTGTTAACAGAAGTACTAAAATTCACACGAAATCTCAACGTGGTTCTTCTTCTAGATATTCTGCCGCTGTGTCACATTTGTCTTGAACGCATTTGTTGTTCGGCATGTAGGTCAAGCTGTCTTAGGTGTCATTAATGTCAGATTGTTATTGCTGGAATCTATGATACTGTTCTTATCACGTGAACCATTCATGAAAGCATGCCTGACTAATACAGCAGAGCATAATTGGGCCCAAGTAGTAAACCTTCTCTGGCTGACGTTAGTTCGTTACCTTTTCTATTACATCACTAATTGTTTTCATGACAAAGTTAATACAAATTAATCGTATTTTCTAGAGTACCGATATGTGTTGCGATGTCCTTCCTGTTTGGATACATTTGGTTGTTCTTGCTCTCCACTGCAGAAGCATTACCGCCGTATTATACATTTGCAGTTTGGGCGGTTGGACTGTCGTGTATCATAGAACTGTCTTCCTTAATCGTTCAATTGGTCGCGAGTGCATTCCTATTTGTTAGGCTTAAAGTAAGGCGAAGACCAGGACGAAGCTGAGAAACTCTCTGAAAGACAAGTGTCTCACCATCCATATGTATGTTCTTCTAGATCATTCTCGATACCATTATGATCACTATACGCACCTTGACATTTGTCCCGCTCATATTATACCACCCGGATAATGCGCTACTCGCATTCGGCATAGCTCAGCTTGTCGCGGCGATATTTTACACTACTAGTCACTATGTGTACTTCCACTATCATATCGCGAAGTTAAACAAATGCGTGCAGAAGCGGAGGATGTCCCTAAAAGACAATAGCGATGAATATGTAGTGAGAGAATTTCCTTTCCGCGATGTCAAAGACTTCTTACCAGGCCAACTGGCGAATAATGTATGTATATACGCGACTGTTGCCGTTATTATCGCTTAAGAAGTATAACAGTTATTTCGTAGGATTCGTATCTTGATAGAAAGTTAACTGTTCTCACATGGAGCTTCTTTAGGCAAGGAATACTAAAGCAAATTTTGACGGAAGGCGAGAGATTAATCATGACTATAATGCCGGTGTTGACGTTTACGGAACAGGTATGCGAACATTAACGCGCACTATGATATCTTTCTAATAATTAATCGCTATTTATTTCTCCTCATTAGGGTATCTACGAGGTTGTGAATAATTTAGGCTCCTTGGCCGCCAGATTTATTTTCCGTCCAATCGAGGAAAGTGGATACTTCTACTTCACGCAGATGATAAAGAGAGACAAAGCCATATCTGATCAAAACCTAGTTAGTGTCCAGGCTGTAACTTTCGCAGTGCGCATTCCTAACATATTCACTTATAAACTACGTTCTGTTGCAGATGAAGGTGCAAGAGAGCGTGAATGTCTTGACACACTTGTGCTCCATCGTTATGTCTATCGGTCTAATCGTCCTGGTATTCGGTCAATCTTATTCGAGCACGTTGCTCTGGCTGTACGGCGGCTCGAAGTTGACCCTGCCCTTACCCACCCTCCTCCTAAGAACACACTGTCTCGCGGTGTTGTTGCTGGGAATTAACGGCGTGACAGAGTGCTACACCAATGCGACGGCCGATAGCGCGACGATAAACAAGAGTAATTTGATCATGGTCTATGAATCGATCGCATTTCTGGGCGCGTCGTACCTGTTCGCCACTTGGTTCGGCCCGGTCGGCTTCATCCTCGGCAATTGCGTGAACATGAGCCTGAGGATCGTACACTCCGCGCTGTTCATCAACAGGAGGCATCAGGACACGATCTATCGTCCCCTGCGCGGATTAGTCCCGAAGCCGATGTTCTCCGCGTCTTTACTCGTAGCCGCGCTCGTCACTAATTTGTCACACGTAAAGTCTTTTTGGAATAACTTATATATATCTACGGATGCTGCGCTCTGCTGATTCGCCGCTGAATCTCTTCCGTTCCAGGTTTATTTCTTCCCGGCTGAGAAAGTATTGCACCTGCTGGTCGGTGTGGTGATGTTCATGATCGTACTTATGTCTTGGATATACGAACATCACGAATTGATCAGACTCGGTACAAACAAGTGGTATGAAAGAAGAAGCAAGCAAAAGAAGAGCGAATGACCTTAGACTTTTGTGCTGTGAATTATTCTATTTATTATAATGTCCACTATGGATATCATAGCTGCAGTGCAGAGAGAGAGAGGCTGTTAACAATCTTGAAGAATTATAATACGAGGTCTGTTCAAAAAGTATCGCGAATTTTGAATTTCCGCGGGTTACGTATATTCGATTTTCGATTTTTTTGTGGCGTTATATTGGTACTCATGTCCCTCACTTATGCCGACAAGTTCGGCCATTTTGAATATTCAGTTTATCTTTGACAGCTGTTTTGCTTGGACAGCTTGTTTTGGCTCGTCTTCGATTTTTACCTATTCCAAAAAAATGGATCAAAGAATCTGTATCAAATTTTGTGTGAAAAACAAAATTAAGTGCGCGGACGCATTCCGAATGTTGACTGTGGCATATGGTGAAGCTACCTTGGACCGAAGCAACGTTTATCGGTGGTACAAAATGTTCTCAGAGGGCCGAGAAGATGTGAACGACGAAGAGCGTGCCGGACGCCCGAGCACGTCAACAACAGACGAAAACATTGATGAAGTGAAGAAAATAGTATTGGCCAATCGTCGAATCACCGTTAGAGAAGTTGCTGAGGACCTAAACATATCGATTGGCTCGTGCCATTCGATTTTTATTAATGATTTGGGCATAAGACGGGTCGCCGCGAAATTCGTACCAAAATTGCTCAATTTCGACCAAAGACAGCATCGTATTAACATTGCTGGGGAGATGTTGGACTCTGTCCGCGACGACCCAAATTTGCTCCAGAGGATCATAACTGGTGACGAATCATGGGTTTATGGTTATGACGTGGAAACCCAATCATCCCAATGGAAGCTGCCGCACGAGCCAAGACCGAAAAAAGCGCGCCAAGTTCGGTCGAATGTGAAGGTTTTGCTTACAGTTTTCTTCGATTGCAGGGGCGTGGTGCATCATGAGTTCTTGCCACAGGGTAGAACGATCAATAAGGAATATTACCTGCAAGTTATGCGCAATTTGC